TAAAAGGCTTTACTGGGTTATTTCCTCTTGATTTATACCTAATTAATTTTGTAATATTTTCAGACCATTACGCGATGTAAATTTCACAATAAACGTCATGCATGCAACGGAGTTTATTGGTGGATTTTGTCACATATTTCACGGTTATTCAAACAAAAACTTACATATTCCAGATATCAACATTGCCCAAATCCATTCGCGATAAAAACGACAGCGAAAAAGCGTTGATCCCTCTCAAAAATTGTTTTCTTGTACCTCAAAACAACTTTTCGCCATACATTTCCTTCTAGCGACTGACAATGTTTGCCCCCTGACAATCCAAGAGTTCTTCGCACAAACACGGGTATCTGATTACTGGCAACTTATTCATTGACCCCCTCCCCCCGAGCAATGTTGAAAGAAAATGAGGCTATTCTGAAGAGTAGATCGGATGGTGTTAAAAAGGAAAAAGGGACAATAGAAGGTGGTTAGACAGTTGTGTTGGAAGCAAAAGTGATTGCTAAAAAATCATTATTATTGGAATAAGACATGAATATCTATGTTATTGTCACTTAAGTTGGAGAAGACAGCTTTAGGAGGCAAACAGTTCTTGAAACGTGGCTATTCTGAAGCTATTATCAAGGTTTTTTGTTTGGTTTTCAAGATTTTTATCAACATTGACAGGGGGGAGGGGGGTAGGCGGGCTTACGCGGTCTTGGTCCTAAGAGAGGCTGCCTGTGAAGTCATCTGCCATAAACTGTCCCAAAACTTTTGACCAGGATTTTAGGTCACCTCGCATGATAGAATCCCAGAGACTGCATTTTTGACAGTTATTTACCTTCTAGAGACAGATTGTAACACTGTCAAGACATACAGAACTTTTAATAACTACTGAGTGAGCTTTGTTTAGTTGTTTGCCTGGTTGGTATTACCGGCATAGTCAATCAAACCCAGTCATATTGAATTTTGATCGCACGAAATCGAACGAAATCGAACTCACTGCATGGACTGAGTTCAGCAATTGAATGAAATCGAGCTTACTCCAAAAAAAATAGTATGAAAAATAATCTGCTCCAAAAAATGAATCAAACTCAATCGAACTTTTGATTGCCAAATTCCTGATTTTTGTAAAACAGTAAAAAGTTTTTTGGAAGATCAAGTTATGTCAGTATAACAGGTGTTTTTCATAATGGCAGAAACTAATAGGCTTGATTACCAGCTGCTATTTGAGAAATGAGCCCATGTTCCTCCCCGAACTCACCTCAGGGAGGAACGTAGCCCTGACTTGAGTAAGCAGCAGAATTCAAGCTTTAGAAACCCAGAGAAATGGCTTCAGATGCATTGTGGGTTGTTACAGCATTAAATTTGTAGTAAAAGGCTACCAAGAGTACTGCTTTCATGCCAATGAGGGTGAAAATTTCAAAGGTTTAAGGAAATAGGTGAAAGAAAATGACTGCGGAAAATAAGGTCACCTTAAACAAAGGCTAATGTAATGGATTGAGTTTGATTTGGTTTGATTGAGTTTGAATGGTTCAGAAATCAAACTCACATGTACAAAGTTCGGTGTTCGATTTCATTTGATTACCAAACTCAGTTGAACTCAATCCACGGATTGAGTTCGATTTTGTTCTATCGAGTTTGATTTCTGAAAATTCAATTGACTATGCTGGAAGAGTGGAAAGGTTGAATTTCTATGAGACCCCATCCACAGTGTGTTTTTGAAACAATGTGTTTTGTACCAAAAAGAAACATCAAAAGGTTTTGGTCCACACTACTGTTTTTGCAGTGTTTTACCTATCCACACTAATAAAAATGCTTGAAAACTTTGATACACCAGGATAAAACACCAAAGCTGCCATTTGCACAAGCCATGTGATAGAGCAATTTTCACTTGAGTATTGAAAAGTAATTGGTTTTGCATTATTACACTACAAGATTGGCTTTAAAAGCTTGTGCCACTTTTTGGTCAAATCAGAAACAAAAGCAAAAGCAATCAGACCTTGCTGACACCTATCTTCTCACGCTTGTCATCAGCTATACATGTATGTATTTACTATGAGTTTTGATTGCTTCATATGATTGAGTCCCTAGAGATTGACCACAATGTTTACTTTGGTTTCGGTTTTATAGCACTCAATTGAAAACTGCTCTATCAGCATTTCCAAAAGCCTCCAATTTTGCCCTCTGGATAGGATGTTCAAATGTGTGCATTTTCAATGAGAACAATGAGCATTTTATAACAAATTAATTAGTATCAAATGCATCAAGTAGGTGCATTCTCAAGGTAATCTTTGTAAGCGTGGACATAATTACGCACACGCACAATAAAATCTTTTGACAGCATAAAAAGTATTTTAAAGTTCTGTTCTGAATTTTTTTATTTTTATATCAGAAAACACCTGGCATTCTAGCATCCCTGAATAGTGCAAACATTGAGCCTTCATACATTTTACAAGGATGCCAAAATTTGTTATAAGATGAGTTGCATAAAAATTTTCATGCTTAATGCTGTTTTTGTTTTCTTGTTAGTATGGGTGCAACTGTGTTTGTACAGCCACTGGATTTGGTCAAAAACAGGATGCAGATGAGTGGTGAGCAGTTTCACAATTTAAATTAATATGTTCTCTAATTTCAGGTGTTTTTTAGATAAGTAGTGCTGCAACGATACACCAATGGACCGGAGAATTGCGATATTTTTTGTCACAATACAAATATCGATATTATGACAAGATATCGTAATATTATGATATTGTGATTCTTCATGAATAAAAAATTCAGCAGTCAGAAACAACTGTCTTTTACGACTCCTTATTCAAGGCCAAGCCCTTTCAGAGCTATTTTATTACACAAAGGGACCCAGGAAAGGGAAAAAAAGTTCCATCATTGCTGTGTATTGCTTTGCATGCTTCTGGTGACATGTCTTTCAAGATGGTGGCACAAAAGCATGCACAGTTCCAATTAGTTGTCAGCTGACACAGTCTTGTGTGCCCATGGACGAAACACACCTGTCAGTTGTATGTAATGATGTATCGTATCATGTATCGTATCGTGGCACTTGCATTGAGATATGTATCGTATTGGGAGAAATTGTATCTTTGCAGCCCTATAGATAAGGAGTTGGTCTTACAGCTGTAGTTCAAAATCCTGATGCTTTCAGAACACAACCTACCATGTCAAGTGTATGTCAAGGGAGACTTCGAATGATTTTTCAGTCATACAGTGGAATCCCGATTTCATGAACCCTCAGTTTTTCAAAACCTCCCGATAACTCGAACCAAAAGTAGTTTCCTCTCCTCAGTCAAACGCTGTAATTTTACCCCCGCTTTCTTGAGCTATCCGATTTTTCAAACCAACATTCATTTCCGTTGGAAGTTCGAAAAATTGGGATTCCACTGTACATGCAGTCACCTATTGCAATTCCTCATGTTTTAAACCATCTGAATTAGGTTGAAACACTGCTGCAAAGATTCAGGTGTAGTTCTTTATAACCTCACATCAGTCTAGATCTAAAATACGTCAAGTACTTTGTACATTACTGCTATGCAAGGAAAATGTAACAAAAACGGTTGACAACTTTAAATTGATCAATGATCATGTGCTACAGTAGGTAGACCTATAGGCAATTGATATCATACTAGTTATGCATTGCTTTCAAGTGGTATACCATGGAATATCCCACGAGTCATTTGTATTTTCTTGGTATACACACAAGTCTTTAGGCAAGTGTGTATACCAAGAAAATACAAATGACAAGCGGAATATTCCATGGTACACCATGATCGAGCATTGCATAACTATCTTAGACCATGTCATAGAAAACACAGTGGCCAACACAATCAATGGGACATATGCATAGTACATTATGGGAATGTTGGATGCTATACTGTTGAATATACAATGGCTTTCCTGTATTCTGATTAGCTTTATATAATGACCCAGGTTATTCTAGCATTTTGATTGGTTCTCACCCATGATCTATTAGAGGACAGATGCACGATTGACGTCATCATTTCAAAGTTTTTCTCTCTGTGTTTTAAAATGGCAGAAAGTTTTGAGAATTAAGACAATATTTTGTGTGACTTGGTGAACGATAAGGTACAAAAAAGTTTTGTCGAGGCATTGAACAGCCACAAGAAGAAGGAGGAAGAAAGAAAAAGCCGTTTTTTTTAGAAAGTAACTCAGAAAAATATTTGAGCAGGCTGAGTCGGCAGTCGAGTGAGACTAAAACAAACACAAAATTGGTCTTGAAATTACTTTAAAGTAAGAAACCTTAGCTTCGTCTCAAATTTAACAAACCCGATAAACAAAATTGTGATATCATTTATTTATTTAAACAATTCAACTTTTCTCAATCTGAAAATAATTGTTGACACAGATTGATTCCAGGAATGAAACATCAAAACATCACTTCTTAAATTCACTCACAGTTAAAATAAACACACAACCTTGCTTTCCGACACGAATGTTTCAGTCCATTTCAGGGCACAGCAGCGAGAAAAGTAGAGCTCACTACAGCTCACAACCAACTGTATCCCAGCTGTAAGGTGTCTCTGACACTATATCAAACTGATTTGAGAATCACCAACCACAGAGGACACAAATTTCCACCGTCACAAACGGTCCTTTCATTTAAAACTCGAATCAAATGGCCTCCAATGTTGACCTCAACCGCAAGTTTTCTGAGCGTATTTTTTCAACTCCTGCAATATTCAAGGCAACATTCAAGCTTTTCGGCTCACAAGGCTGCTGTAATGAAAAAAACTGACTTGACTTTTCCAGCATTTTCTTTAAGATTTGTAGATTTCACTGTTCAATTCTGCTTTCACTGTAAGTTTTCATTGCATGAGAAGCGACATTTGAGTCAAGTTTGACAGTGGCATGATTTTCCTGGACGCATAGCAACCAATGAGATTCCTTCATTTTGTGTAGACAATAGTTCACGTCAAATGGCTTTTTTTTCGTGTTCACCAAAGTGGGCAAAGATGGGCTTTCGAGTTATGGTGAAAGATTCCGAAATAAAAAAGCTTTATCTGTAGTAGTTTGTTTCTTTATTATATAAAACAGATAGATTCCATGTTGCCATGCGTCTGTTCAGCAATAGATCACAGAAGAGGTCAAAATGTGGTGAGAATATCGATAACAGAATCGGCTATCGCCTCATGTGCCACTTTTTTGTTCTTACCACATTTTTGACGTCATCTGTGACCTATTACTGAACAGACGCATGGCAACATGGAATCTATTTGTTAAGTATTTTCTGTGGCATGGTATAAAACAAGGTAAGAAACTCAACTGTCTCAGCAAATCATATGGGTAGTGGCCTTGACAGAGCTGATCTGTGATGGTCATATTGCTTTAAGACTGCTTGGCTGATATTATGGAACCGCCATATTAGAGAGGTGATGCCTTTGAAGTGTCTAATGGGATACAACTAATCAGTAGAATTGTATCACTTTGTTTAGGTGTTGGTGGTGCTTCAAAAACCCACAAAAGTAGTTTACATGCAATTGCCTCCATTCTTAGACAAGAGGGAGTTTTTGGTGTCTATAATGGGTTAGTTTGTTTGATTGTTAAAAAAATTTATATAATACAACTGTATGTTTGACTTTGGCGGCCATATTAATAAATAATGAAAGTTTCATTTTGGGTTGTGTTGCAATAGTGAGCAATCAATGGTAACATCAACAGTTTGGTCTGACAATCTGTTGTTTCAATAATGGGGGCAAAAAGCAAACACATTTTGGCTGCATTGTTTCTTATTGTATCCTTGATTGAAATTCAACTGGTACATTTTAACACAGTCATGGTTGACAACATTTGAAATTACAACTGGCATATGAAGTTGGAGTAACATGATTTCCTTTCTTCTTAGACTTGCTTAAGCAATTTTGTCAACATGAGCTTGCAAGTATATTGTTACCAGACAGAAAATCGCAGTACATGTTTTTAAGTCTCAGAAAAGAAGCTCTTAGTTAGCCACCTTAAGTTACTATGGATAACATTTGTGATATAATCTGCCTTATTGATAAGGAAAAAAGTGAATGAATGACATGACTATGACACACATAAACTTGAATAATGTGAGGCTGATAGTCTGATAGTGGTTTATGTTCACATGCATTTTCTTTTCTTTGTAGCTTATCAGCTGGTCTCTTAAGACAGGCAACATATACAACAACGCGACTGGGTGTTTATACTTCACTAATGGAACATTTTAAGAGGTTGGTGGTTAAATTGCTACTAAAATAAATAAGTAATTATATAAATAAATAAACAACTTTACTTTAAATGAATGTCAAATGTATTAAGCATTGTTGTACTACTTTGGGGCGTTGTAAATAAGTAAACAAATATTTCAAATAGGACATAAACTATTAAGAATCCCAATTGGTGGTAGNTCCATGGGGATCTAATCGCTCCTCATCAAATATGATAGATTGACAATTTTCTTGCCTTTCCCGCTTTTCGACCAATGGTATTTCACTTTGTTCAGGCAAAGCAGAAATGAAAAAATTACAGAGATCAAGGCAGGCTCACTTTCTTGGCGCCTCTTCACCAGACTCCTTCCCACAGGATCACTCTGCTCTCCGCTCACGCGTGTGACTCAAAGGTGAGCCTGCTCACAGGCTATGTAGAAGGGAACAGAATGATGTTTAATGCGTTGCTCAAAATTTGAGTTCAAAGTCAAGAAACTTTAGGCTCACTGAAACAGTCAAAATCAGTTTTGCATGTGACAATATAATTTTTTAAAATCAGGAACTCTTGCATTAATGATAATTGTGCAGATAACCGGTGTCTGTAAAACAAGGTTAACTTTGTTTAAAAGCATGTCACTTGAGTTACATTAAAGTGTCCATGTCCGTATTAACTGGTGTCTGTGTTAAGTGGGTTGTTGAAAGAAAAATCAAGACCGTCTGTAATAAGCAGGTGTCTGTAGAGCAGGTTTCCAATTTATTTATTCATTTGTTTTTTCCTTTCACCACATTAGAGAGGACAAGGCCATATGGGTAGGTTCAGTGTGAGATACAAAGATCACTGGACGCTATTCAATATGGAAATGTCTAGGTTTAAATTACTTTGAAAGATTATATGTAACTGCATGTGTTGAGCACAGTTTTACATACTTGTGCTGACACTCAGTTTAAAATGGCATCACACTTGTCAATAGATTGCTGCCCAAGACTTGAGCCAGGAGCTAGTGTAGCAGGCTTTAGAGACTTTTCTTTATTACGCAGATACATTAGCACGACATTCTGTAACAAATCATAGTACATTCATTATCATGATGATAATTTGGGAAGTGAGGCTATCATTATAAACTGTGTGTTTGCATTTTCTTTCACACAGGAATGACAGCAGGGGCTATAGGATCATTTATTGGCACACCTGCAGAGATCTCTCTCATAAGAATGACCTCAGATGGAAGGTCAGCAAAGTCTCCACTAAAGTGACACCTAAATGATCTCAGTTGTAAATGAAACATTAAGTATGGTACACGTCTAGATCTAATGGATTGCAGCAATAAAGTCACTGTTATTTCCTGCAGGCTTCCATTGGAACAACAACGCAAATACACAAGTGTGTTTAATGCCTTGTTTAGGATAACCAAGGAAGAAGGACTTTTTACTCTTTGGAGGGTAGGAGCAGCTCAGTTAAAATATAATTTAAGTTCATGAAAGTGCTTAATAGATATCTATGCGTTCAGATGACCCACTGCTCATTTAATCATGGTCTCAGCCATGTGCAAACAATTCATTTGTAACCAATCATGAACCGAGGCCTCTACGCTTTGTTTGGTCAGGCTATTGATGGCATTGAAGTTAGACTGTGCAAAAAAGGACTTTGCTGTATGTATAAGTGTTTTACAATTCCAGAAGTAAACTTTTAAAGATTTCTCAAATCTGCTTGTAATTAGTTACCAGCAACTCCTGTTTCATTACCACTTTGACAGTATAGTTACAGTATACTTATCAGGCTGGAATAGCTCTGAAAACAGTGCAGTACGTTTGACAATACTCCACATTTTAGTATGACAGGTTTTACAACTTTGTGATTTGATTTATTTTATGTTGGCTCAAGTCTCATTTGTAGTGTTCTCTTTGTTTGTAGGGATGTGGTCCAACGGTCACTCGAGCAGTTGTTGTTAATGCAGCCCAACTAGCTACATACTCGCAAGCTAAACAGAACTTGCTAGCAACAGGTACGTCCAGAAATGCACATAGTGTACACGAACAGGGACTGCCACGGCTGTAGAGGTCATTGATAGATGTCATAATGATGATGTCTCTGTACAGAGATCAGGGAGTTTATGCAAACTCAGTGGCGATGCCTAGGACAATGTGGATTGAAAAACTACTTCATCCATGTACTCTTGGCTCTTTTTCTAGGTTAGAATATGTTACATACGACGAAAAACTTGTCTCAACTTTGCTTACTTAACCATGTAAAAGCAAAACCAGTTCTGAACCAGTCACTTAAAGTTTTTCCCCTCATGGCGAAGGTTACTTGTGTTAGCACTTGCTTTGAGGTTGCATTTCAGTATTGTAAGTTGTAATAATTGATCTTTGTAGTTGCTTTTGGTTGAACAACACTGAAAACCACTGAAAATTTGCTGTAAGTTAAGTTGCTAATTTTAATGAGAAGGTTTTTGTTTACAGGTTATTTTAAGGATGATCTGCTATGCCACTTTGGAGCAAGTATGATTAGCGGTTTAGCGACTACGTTAGCTTCTATGCCTGTAGACATTGCCAAAACAAGGTTAGCACAACTATTCTAATGCCCCGCACAACTGGTTGAATGATACAAAAGTCTGTTTTGGTGGGGATATTTTCTAGAAGGTGTATTTTTGTATGGTAAAGTCTGTGTTTGGTCAAAGTGTGCCCCTACCTGGGGAGCTTATCCTGGTTTAAATAGCATTAACAACTAGAAGTATATCTACTCCCCCATGGATGGGATGCCAGTCCATCATTACACACCTCAACTCATCAGGTTATACACCTGACAGGCACTGTCACAGTAAAGACTAAGAGCTCAGCACATTATTTTAATGTCGGTTTTCTGTTGGAAGGGATGTAGTTTTTACAAAACTTAGTTGCACAGACAAATACTGCAGTATGTTTACACCAGTTATCCAAACATAAAGATGTTGATGCAACACAAAATCCATTGTCATCAGATGACCATCAAAAGCCTCTGTAAAACTGTAATTGTAATTCAATGCAGGGTCTTAATAATGGGAAGAAATTTTAATGTTCTGTAAGAGCCAGAACTTACTATAAAAAAAAAAGGAAGACCTATTATTTGAGCAATTTTGAATTTTATTTTCGGTCGCATGTGGAAATGTTATCAGAATATTAGAATAGTTTAAGTTTGTATGAGCAGTGAAGTGACACCAATCGTTTATCAACAACTTTTAATTTGCATGTATATTTGGGAAGGAACTTTTTTAACTGTGACCAATTTTCTTGTCCAATACATATATGTTGTGTAGGATTCAAAACATGAAGATTATTGATGGCAAACCTGAATATCGTGGAGCAGTGGTAAGGTTTTTTTCTCATCTGATGGTGATTTTTGTCTAGTTTAACTCTAAACTCCTTTCAATGTAACTCTTGGACTTACAAGGGTGGGGTGGATGCTGGTTTCTTTTTCACTGATATATACAAGACTCCTGTTTACGTCATATGTATCTTTAACTGGATGTTGGATCATCGATATATAACCTTCTCGTCTTGTAAAGCAAGCTGAGTCAAATCTTTGGGCATAATGGTGTCATATAGTTTCTCATGTGGTTCCATCCATTCCCCCTCTCCGCCTCTCCTATGTCCACTGATAGAATTTTTAGCATCAAGTGTGTTTCACTTCATTTATAGAAATTTAGGATTGTTTGTTTTGCAATCCCTGTTAATCTTGATCAGTTTTGACCATCCCAAACTCCTTTATAGTTTTCTGCGTCTCGGTTTGTGTTTTTAACTACTATTAAATATTTTAAATCGTTATTTCGATAATTCATTCGCCCCACACACCAATGCCTACCTAGCATATTGGAGAAGATTCTGAGGGAAGCAGTTGTTGTAGTTGTTGCTCGAGTCTCTATGAAGCAAATTCTACACAAGTACTTGAAGTTCTCCCAAATCCCTTCGAGTGACTGCAGTCTGCTTTATACAACGTTTAGTCAATGATAAGTGACCAATCATAGAGCGAGTTAGTGCAATGCTCGTTTTGTTACATCGTGTTACAAGGAAATATTCTGAGTAGTGCTTACAGTGTTCATGGAGCATTCCGGCCATCGAGCTTTGACAAGTGACTTCTGTCGAATCAGAGCGTGCGTTACATGTTCCGTTTATAAATTATTTTGATCGAAAGGGGCTTTTTGCAACTAGGCCACCTTCGCAAGTTAAAGGGGTTTGTCGGCAGTCCTGAATTAAGTCCCAGAAAGTCTTAAACCCGCCACAGGAGTGATTTCCGTGTCCTTTGCGATACCCGTTGGAAATTTTTGTCTCCAAAAAACCGTGTAGTTTAAAGTTGCTTATTTGCCAGGAGATATTAACAAAAGTTTGGTGTTAAAAGATCTAGATCGGTGCGTAATTGGCAATACCCGTGTAAAGTAAACAAACGATCTTCGGAAATAATGTTCTTTGTTGATGCTGTCCTTCTCTTTCTGTTATTAGGAAGTGTTCGTTAAAGTGATTCGACAGGAAGGTGTTTTTGCGCTGTGGAAAGGATTTACACCGTACTATTTCCGTCTTGGACCACACACTGTTCTCACCTTCATCTTCCTTGAACAACTTCAAAGG